GGCATGCAAAAGAGTAAGAAAATTCAGCGTATAATGGGGAGAATTTACCAGTCATAATTGTCTCAGAAATAACATATATGATAGAATTAGTAGACAAGGACCTTAAAGCAGTTTTCATAATTGAATTCCATATATTCAAAAAGCTAGAGGGGGCCGGCCTGGTTGCACAGCGGTTAAGTTTGCATGTTCCGCTTCTCAGCGGCCCGAGTTTCGCCGGTTCGGATCCTGCGTACGGACATGGCACCACTTGGCAAAAGCCATTCTGTGGTAGGCGTCCCATGTATAAAAGTAGAGGAAGATGGGCACAGATGTTAGCTCAGGACCTGTATTCCTCAGCAAAAAGAGGGGTATTGGCAGGAGTTATCTCAGAGCTAATCTTCCTCAAAAAAACAAAAAAAGCTAGAGAAAAGACTGACCATGTTGTCTAGCAACATGGAAGATAAAAGAAGTCAAACTTTTAGAGACGAAAACTACAATGTCACATGGAAAATACACTCTATGGGATTAATGGCAGCTTTGAGAATGCAGAAGAAAAGATTAATAAACTTGAAGCAGTAGAAACTATCCAGAATTAAACTCAGAGAGAAAAATGGCTGGAAAAAAATAGAGTATCAATGAATTTTGAGACAAATTCAAAGGAGCTAATGTCCATGCAGTTGGAGTCCCCAAAGGAAAGGGGGGAGGGCAGAAAGAATGTCTGAAGAAATAATTGCTGAGACATTTCCAAATTAGATGGAACATATAAACACATAGATTCAAAAAGTTCAATGAACCCTAAACACAAGAAACGTGAAGAAAACTAAACCAAGCTAGATAATAAGAAAAATGCTTAAAATCAGTGACAAAGAGAAAACTTTTAAAGCAGGCAGAGAAAAAAAGACACATTACGTACAGACAAACTAAGATAAAGATGACAGGAGATTTACTATCAGAAAAAATGCAAACTAGAAGACAGTGGAAGAACATCTTAAACATCAGAGAAAAATACCTATCAACTTAAAATTCTTTCCCCAACAAAAATATCTTTCAAAAGCAAAGGTGAAATGAACAGTTTTCCAGACATACAAATGCTGAAAGAACCCATCACCAGCATGCCTGTACCACAAGAAATGTTTTAAAAAAGTCCTTTAAGCAGAAGAAAAATAATACCAGGTTGTGAAATCTGGATCTGTACAGAGACATCAAGAGCACTGGAAATGGTAACTGTGGGTAAATATACTCTTATTATTTAAAAACTTTAAATGATAGTTGATTGTTTAATGCAAAAAATAACTATATCATGGTGCTGATAACATATATAGAAATAAAATGTATGATAATAGCACAAAGGTGAGGGGTGGGGTAAGGAGAGAAATGGAAGTACATCATTGTAAGGTTCTTAAACTATCCGTGAAGTGGTGTAATGTCACTTGAAGCTAGACTGTGATAGGTTAAAGATATTTATTATAAATTCTAAAACAACCACTAAAATGGCATAACAAAGAGTTATAGCTAACAAGCCAACAAAAGAGAGAAAATAGAAATCATAAAAATATTCAGTTAATCTAAAAGAAAGTGGAAAAAAAAGAAAGAACACATGGGATAAATAGAAAACAAGGAACAAGATAGTAGCCTCAATCCCAATCATATCAATAATCACACTAAATGTTAATGGTATAAACAGCCAAATAAAAGGCAGAGAGGATCAGATTGCATAAAAATGTAAGACCCGAACTATATGCTAACCAGAAACCCATTTTAAATATAAAGATACAAAAATAATAAAAATGGAAAATAATAAAATAAATAATAACAAATTTAAAAAGGATGGAAAAAGATATTTATGCTAACACTAATCAAAAGAAAATGAGAGTGACTGTATTAGTATCAAAGTAGCTTTCAGGGGCCAGCCGGTGGCACAGCAGTTGAGTTCACATATTCCTCTTGGGCAGTCCCAGGATTTGCTGGTTCGGATCCCGGGTGTGGACCTATGCACTGCTTGGCAAGCCCTGCTGTGGCAGGCATCCCACATATAAAATAGAGGAAGATGGGCATGGATGTTAGCTCAGGGCCAGTCTTCCTCAGCAAAAAGAGGAGGATTGGCAGCAGATGTTAGCTCAGGACTAATCTTCCTCAAACAAACAAACAAACAAACAAACAAAACGTAGATTGCAGAGCAAAGACTATTATCAGGGATAAAAAGAGTCATTTCATAATAACACAGGAGTCGATTCATCAGGAGAATGTAACAATCCTAAGCATGTATGTATCTAACAATTGAGCTTCAAAATACGTGAAACAAAAACTGATAGAAGTACATGGAGAAACAGACAAATCCAAAATTCAAAGATTTCAACATACCTCCCTAAGTAATTGCTAGAACAAGTAGACAGACAATCAGTAAGGATGTAGAAGATTTGAACCACGCCGCCAATCAGCTTGAGCTAACAGACACATATAGGGTACTCCACCCAATAACATGGGAATACACAGTCTTTAAGTGCACGCGGAACCAAGTATTCCATAATCTGGGTCATAAAACAAGTCTCAGAAGTTTAAAAGAATTCAAGTCATACAAAATATCCTCTGTGACCATAGTGGTATTAAATTAGAAATCAGTAACAGAAAGATATGTGTAAAATCCCCAAATTTTTGGAAACTAAGTAACACACTTCTAAATAACCCATGGGTCAAAGAAGAAATAAAAAGGAAATGAAAAAAGTAGTTTGAACTGAATGAAAATGAAAATACAAAATACCAAAATGAGTAGGATATAACCAAAGTGGTATTTAGAGAGAAATTTATAACACTAAATGTCTATATTAGAAAAGCTCCTAAAACTAATAAGTGAGTTTAACAGGGTTGAAGGATACAGGGTCAGTATTCAAAAATTAATTGTTATTTCCATATCCTAGCAAAAAACAATCATATACTAAAATTTTAAAACAATACCATTTACAAGAGCATTGAAAAATATGAAATAGGGATAAATCTGGCAAAGTACACTGAAGACTACAAAACGTTCCTGGGAGAAATCAAAGAACTAAATAAGTGGAAATGGATACTATGTACATGAATCAGGAGGTTCCATATTGTTAAGACGTCCGTTTCCTTCAAATTGATCTATGGATTTAACATAATCTCTCTCCATCATAATCCTGGAGGGATTTTTTTTTTTTTTTTTTAGAAATCAGCAAGCTGTTTTAAAGTTCATCTGGAAATTCAAAAGACCCAGAATAGTCAAAACAACTTTGAAAAAGCACGGAGGACTTCAAGACCCGTACAAATATGGGCATGTGATTTGTGATGCAGCTTCTGGGTTAAGACGATCTTAAATATTTTTTCATTACATTTTTGGAAATGTCTTTAGTGTCTGACTTGATTGAGGATAGCTGTATTTGCATCGCTGCTTCTGCAGTCAGTCTCTTGTGATGTGTGGCTGTGGTTGAAGTGGACGAAGAAAATCCAACCTCACATGGACGTGGAATTGGAGAAGAAGGGAGTATTTTAACAGGCCTTCAAATAACTGTGGATAGTCTTGGATATTACATCAAATTTGACAACTAGTTTTTTAAAAGGTGGTTACAATGTGAAAAATGAATCTATATGGATGAATTTTTTCATAATCAGTTGTGTTAAAATCCATCAGTCTCAGGGCCGGCCGGGTGGTGCAGCGGTTAAATGCACAGGTTCTGCTTCAGCAGCCCGGGGTTCCCCAGTTCAGATCCCGGGTGTGGACATGGCACCGCATGACAAGCCATGCTGTGGTAGGCGTCCCACATATAAAGTAGAGGAAGACGGGCATGGATGTGAGCTCAGGGCCAATCTTCCTCAGCAAAAAAGAGGAGGATTGGCAGCAGATGTTAGCTCAGGGCTAATGTTCCTCCAAAATAAATAAATAAAAGAAATTTATATATATATTAAAAAATCCATTAGTGTACATTGCATTTTTTTGACATTGCATTTTGAATGGTTGTCTTACCCACAGACAATCTGTAACACCAGGCGTTGGTTATTTGTAAGACACTGGTTCACTGAGCTATGCCGATCTTCCAACTGTTGACACGTTTCAATATACGTTATCCAAAATCACATTCTTTAATATCATCACCCATATCATTAGAAAAGTCTGTGAGTATTGGGAAACTGTTAAATTCATGGTGGCAGATACAATGTTCCAGTATTGTAATTTCTACTTGAAAGCTCAAGTGTTATAAATTTAATTATCAAAATGCTTCAGTTGTTTTCCCTGAAATGTCGGGCTTACTTTATTCGTTTTTTAGGAAATATCTGCCAAATATTCAGGTCTGAACGGCCGTAGTTTGTCAGTGTTCTTTCAAGTGAAAACGGTGTTCCAACAAAAAAGCAGCTGGTTCGCCTTGTAACTCCCAGTTGCGACTCGTTAAATGATCCAATTAGATGCGATTTAATTGTATTCCTTACTACGGTTAAGACCCGAGGGCCGGTCTCCGGTTGTGAAACCGCGCCTCCCTCGGGACGGAGGGCGGGTTTGCGTTCTGGGGACGTGCGCTGATCGTGTCCAGGGCGGCCGAGAACCGGCCCGCTCATCTCTGCGGACTCACATTCTCGTGTTTTTTATTTTCTCAGAAAAGAGAAAATCTGTGTTTTCAATGTACGAAGGCGACTACCAGCCCGAGCCTCTGACGGTGGAGGTCCAGATCCAGCTGAACCAGTGCCGCTCGGCCGAGGAGGCGATCCGGGCGCTCTCCCTGTAGGGCGCGGCATTAAAGGCTGTTCTCACCACCCCGGCTCCGTGTCCGTCTGGCCGCCGCGCGGCAGGAGTGGGGGCTGCGGGGAGGGGGCTGCGCGGAGGGGGCGGCCTCTCCGCGGGCAGGTGCGCGGGGCACGGTGAAGCCCCGGGCGGGAGGGGACCCGCGACGGCCCGGGCTCGCTCCTCCAGAAGCCCCGCCCCCGCGGCCGTGGGTGGGGCGTGCTGCCCGTGAGGGGGCGTGGCCAGGGCTCGGGGCCGCGGTCGGGCCCCGCCCACTGCCCGAGCTGAGCCAGGTGCGCGCGGCTGTCACTCCGGCCTCCCCTCTGCTACGCGAGCTCCTCGCCTGTGCCCGGCCGGCGTCGCGCCTCAGGTAGGTCCGCGTGGGGCGGGTCGTGCCGGGCCTGGGGCGCCTGGAGCCCCGCTGCTGGGACGGGGTTGCCTCACTGTGCGCAGAGGGGCGCCTCTGACCCCGCGGGCCCCCGCTCCGCGCGCGGTCGTGGCCACCCCGGGGCAGCCTCGAAGACGCAGGGTCCCCGCCCGGGAGGCGCTGAGTCTGGCCGCGGCTGGATGGTCGCTGCACTGCCGAGCGGATGGGCGGCCTGCCGCCCCTAGGAGACCATCGGACTAAGCGGCCACCTCTTGCCGCCTGCCTTCTGTTCGCCCCTTCTGGGGCCAGAATGGCCGGAGCTGGGCGTTGTGGAAGGGGCCAGCCTGGTTCGCTTGCCCCGGACGCGTCGACGGGCAGCGCTGCTCGCTGTGCTCAGGGCCGGGAGGAGTGTCCACTGCGTCCTTGCTCTGGCCACCCCGCGGCCCCTTGGGCCCCCACAACAGCCCTTTAGAGACTGTCCCGTGGAAAAAATGAAGCAGCCCCAGAAACAATTGCAGACCCCCTTAGGACTCAGCACCCACTTGGAGAGGGTCATGCACTCGCCAAGGCCCATGCCAGGTTAAGAACCAGGCTTTGGGGGCTGACAGTATGGTGGGAGACATAGGCTTCGCAGGTGCTGAATTAGGATTCACAGGAGGTTAGTGGGGTGGGGAGCAGAGGGAAGGCCCGAGAGGGCGACCGTGGTGCAGGCCTGCAGGCGGGCTGGATCCCAGCCACTGCACTGGGGAACTGCTGTTCGTTGGCAGTGGAGGGCCGCAGGGTTTGGGTGCGGGCACGAGGAGCCTGTGGGCAAAGGGGAAATCGGGTCGACAGCGCACTTCAGCCTGAGCCTCTGAAACGCATAAGACCAAACCGCCTGCTGTGTGCCTTTCTCAGTACATGGCACAACCATCCCCCCGGGGCTCCCTCACCCACAGCTGGCGTATCTCCCACAGCTGAAATCCATTCTCCATACCGGAAATCCATCTAGCTCTTACCTGCTGCACGGCCACCTCCCCAGTCCCAGCTGCGTCTTGGGTCCTGACTAATGCAGTTTTCTAGCTGATCTCCTTTTTCCATTCTTGCCCTTCCACAATCCATTATCACGCTCCATTACTGCAGCAGCAGTAGTGACTTTTCAAACAACACAAATTCTTTTACTGCCTCTTCCAAACCTCCCAGGGGATCCTCCGCTTTCTCCAAGCCCTCAGCATGGCCCTGACGTGTGCCTCCTCATGCTATTGCTCCCGCTTCACCATCTGCCACCTTGCTCCTTGCCCTTTATACTCCAGCCACACTACACTCCTGTCCTCAAAGACGTCACACCTACTCCTACTTGAGGAGCTCTGCACTTCTCTTCCCCCTGCTAGCACACTCTCCCCAGATCTTGATGTGGTTTGGTCCCTTACATCATTCAGTTCTCATTTAAATGTCCCATTGCAAGGCTTTCTAAACTACCCTAGGCTCAAATAACCTTCCCCGTCTCTTATTATTCCATTACACTGCTTTAAGATCTCCTCAGCCCTCTCTAGAGTTCGTCCTGGCTTTTTTGGTCTGTCTCTTTTCTGTGAGGACAGTGGCCCTGCCTCTCCTGCCTGCCACCACATCCCTAGCAGCTAGCAAGAGATGCTTTTGCAGTGGTGGCATCAGGGACCACAGGGACGAGGGTGGGCTGGTTAGAAGTGAAGGGCTGTTGGATCAGGATGACATGGCAAGGGAGGGGATGAGGAGGGGCCTGAGGCCTGGCTTTGCTGCTCTGGACCTTGGGCAGCTTACTCTGATCGTTACCATTTCCAGCCTTCTCTCTGGATTGCGGGGAGACTTACTGAGGAAAACCAGAACTCATGAGTGGGAGGGTCGGGTGAGGGGTGGCCGCAGGGCAGCTGTCCCTGGTACAAGTCTCCAGCTTTCCTGCTTGTTTTCCCGCTATTCCTGTGTGTGGTTTTTTCCTAAAGCCCGTTTAAGTGGCTCTCCAGGAAATCCAGGCCACTTCAGGCAGATGTGAAGGGTGTGTTCTGTGGTGGCCGTTGCCACCTGCTGCCCTGCTGAGGTTTCTTCTCCCTGGAGGAGCAAACTCCCCAAGGGCAGTGCCTGGGGCTGTCATCTCTGAGACACCCAACGCAGGGCCTGCCACCAACAGGTCAGACTCTAGACTTTTTTTTGGAAATGGTTTGACTTTTAGACTTAAGAGCCCTGAATGTCGGGCTTAGCATGAATTTAACCCGAAGCTAAACTACTTGGCGCCACTTTCACTGATGCTCCTAAGGTACTTGATTTTCCTGGGAAATGCTGAAAAATGCTCGTGGAGCCTCTTTTAAAGTGGCTGCGAGTGTTTTTGGAGAAGAGGCTGCCCCAAGAGCCCTCTGATGACCGCAGAATGCAGGCAAGGGCCAGCGTAGCAGCTGAGCTTGGTCTCCTCTGGGGAGGGACTCTGGAAAGAGCTGGAGGACACATGGTGAAGAATAAATAAAAGGAAGTCCCAAAGGCCAGCAGGGGCTTAGCTGCTGGGTTGTGGGGAGCTGTTGCTCTTGGGACCAGGGGGGCGGAGGCTGACAGGGGATGGGGCTGGGCCCACTCACACAGCTCGCTTCTTGCAGGACCTGCCATGTTCCGCAGGCTGGGCTGGCCGGTCCTGTACAGCCTGGCTGTGCTGCTGCCAAGCTGCCTGCTCTTCCTGAAGAAGGAGCCCAAGCCGCCACGGGGCCCCACGGCCCGCCAGCTCTTCTGGGCTCCCGCGGGGCCCCGCCGCAGCCAGTGTCCTCCCAACCACACAGTGGCTAATGCCTCCCTGTCCCTGCCTAGCCGTCACCGCCTCTTCTTGACCTATCGCCACTGCCGCAACTTCTCTGTCTTGCTGGAGCCTTCAGGCTGTGCCAAGGACACCTTTCTGCTCTTGGCCATCAAGTCGCAGCCTGGCCACGTGGAACGGCGTGCGGCCATCCGCAGCACCTGGGGCCGGGCGGGGGACTGGGCTAGGGGCCAGCAGTTGAAGCTGGTGTTCCTCCTAGGGGTGGCAGGACCTGTGCCCCCAGCCCAGCTGCTGGCCTATGAGAGTCGGGAGTTTGATGATATCCTACAGTGGGACTTTGCTGAGGACTTCTTCAACCTGACACTCAAGGAGCTGCACCTGCAGCGCTGGGTGGCGGCTGCCTGTCCCCAGGTCCACTTCATGCTAAAGGGAGATGACGATGTCTTTGTTCATGTCTCCAATGTGCTCGAGTTCTTGGATGGCTGGGACCCAGCCCAAGACCTCCTAGTAGGAGATGTCATCCACCAGGCCCTGCCCAACAGGAACACTAAGGTCAAATACTTCATCCCACCCTCCATGTACAGGGCCCGCCACTACCCACCCTATGCTGGGGGTGGAGGGTATGTCATGTCCAGAGCCACCGTGCAGCGCCTCCAAGCAGCCGTGGAAGAGGCTGAACTCTTCCCCATCGATGACGTCTTTGTGGGTATGTGCCTGAGGAAGCTGGGGGTGAGCCCCATGCACCATGCTGGCTTCAAGACATTTGGAATACGACAGCCCCTGGACCCCTTGGACCCCTGCCTGTACAAAGGGCTCCTACTCGTACATCGTCTCAGCCCCCTGGAGATGTGGACCATGTGGGCATTGGTGACAGATGAGGGGCTCAAGTGTGCATCTGGCCCCTTGTCCTAGCTCTGAGGGGTGGGCTGAGTGAGTGACTCAGTGCTGATTTTCCTATCATGATGAGAAACTGAGAACCTTGAAGCTTGATCCTTGATTAACGTCTACAGGAAATGCTGAATTGGTTTTGTAACCCCCTCCCACACCTTGCAAACTTGGATTAAAAACACTTGAAACCTGGCTATCTTGTACTAGCATGTGTGGAATGGGAGCCAAAGCATAGCAAATGCCACCAGAACTCCATGGGGGGAATTCCTGGAGCCCCCTGGGGCTCTGCCAGGCTGGGCGTGAAGGAGAGAGGCTGCATAGGGCCCCAGAAGACACACACACATTTTTAAATGCACACAAAAATTATTCTCCTTCAGACAGAATAGAGAAACTCAAAGGAAACGAGAAGCATGTGTTGGAGTAAGTCCTGTTGAGAGCACCAGGTCAACACTGCATTCAGTCCCTTAAAAGTAGTGGACTTTTGGCTCCTTGGCCTGAGCTGTCCTTACAGGGCAGTGGGGCCAGGTCAGAGAAGGCATTAGAAACACTTAAAAAGAACTCTTACAAACACGACAGGCTCCCCTTTCCCCACAAAACTCACATACCTATGGAGGGAGCAAATAGTAAATCATATTTGAAAATGTGAATAAGGTCAGAAACACGTTAAACAGCTACTGAACTTGTGGGCATGACAAAAAAAGGCCCCCTCTCTCTGGCCAGGTTGCTGAGATGCTCTTCTGGGAGGTAAAGATTGGTGGGTGAGAGGGCAGCTGTGCTGAGTGGGGTGAAATGTTAAACAGGGTGCAGTGCCCGCAGGCTAAGAACCAGGTCTAGTGGAAGCCTGAGGCCACGGGGGGAGGTCAGGCACTTACAGCTCACAAAGGCCTCAGGCCTGTTGGACCAGGGCAGGACCTGCTGCCGCCTCTCCACACACAGAAAGCTGTGCGGATCCTGGGCCGGATGGCATCCGCCCTTGCTTTCCAGGCTGAGTGGGCCGCAGCTCAGGCCCTCAATCCTCACGCAGGTAGGCCTCCTCCTCTGTCTCAGCCCTCTCGTCCCCTTCCCCCTGTGTTTTCTGACGAAGTTCTTCTGTCTGTGCTTCTGCCAACTTGGTTTCTGCTTTCTGGGAGAGCTGGCGCACCTCCTGCACCTGCGATTTCACCAGCTGAATATGGTTCCTGGCAGTTATAGAGGCCTGATCTGCTCCTGCCAAAAGATGGGACAGTTAAGCTGAGCAGACGGACAGAGTAGAAGGTGCAAGTGGACACAAGGAAAGCTCTGGAGTGCTCCGCAGTTGTCATCTGAGCCCCTCTTAGAGCCCCTCTGTGTGCCCTCCCTGCTGGCCCTCTCTCTGCAGAGAACTCTACCTCCACATTCAGGTCTGCATTTTATTCTTTAGTGTCAAAACCCCTGCATTTTTCTCCAGCTATGAGCAGCTATCATTATAATCATTAAATGTAATTCCCACAATTATCTCTATAGCTGCACAGCTCTTTGAATAGACATTTTATGACTTTAATTTTTTAACTACAGGAGTAATACATATACATTTCTTTTTGACAAATTAAGAGATCACTAATAAAACTGTCACAGATCTCTTCCCTTTCCCTACCCAATCTTCAGAGATAATCTCTGTTGGAAGTTTAAAGGGCATCTTTCTCATCTTTTAAAATGTGACCGTATACATATGGGATGCACAGAAAAATATTTTGTTACTATAATTTACATAATGGACAAAAGGTATCTATTGAACATATTTTGCAATTTTTAACAGCATGTTTTTGAGCTCCATCATTCCTTGTACCTGCTGCTAGTGCACTTCATCACATGGACAAGAACATTCACCAGTTCAGCTGCAGAACATCTGGGTGGTTCTTTTCTATCTCACTGCGTTCATGAGAACCTTCAGCACGATGCTGGAAGGTGGTGGAGAATAGCAGGCCTCCTTCCTGACCCTGATGGAAGTGGTTCTCGTATTTCATTATTAAGTAGGATTACTTAACCTTTATGATGTTAAGAAAATTCTCTCTTCATAATTGTTCTTAGACTTAAATCATAAATGGGTACTACATTTTACTGAAGGCTTTGGGGCATATATATGTAAATCTATTTTTAGGATTTTTCTTTGCATATTTTACATTCTGAATATTTCTCCACGGTTTTTTTTTTTTTTTTTTTTTTTTACTGTTTAGGACCTTTGCGAGCCCTTTCAATGAGTTCTGGAAATGGCCTGTTTTTTCAGGTAATGCTTACACTTCACTCTCCCTCTTTTCTCCTGCCAGATGTAAGCCTGCCTAGGTGAGTGGTGAAGGTTGCCTGGGGACGTTCCTGCTGCTTACCTCAGCAAATCGCCCTGTCTTTACACCTGGAATTCCCACTCCCACCCCTGGTGTGGCACTACTATAATGCTACTTTCACACTTCTATTGTTTGCTCCTGGCTACCAGGAGCAACAGCTTTAGAATTTCATCCACCTGGATGAATCCCAGGTTTGGCTGCTTGCTTACCATACCATAGCATCTTGGGTGAATTACTTAATCCCCCGTCCCTCAGTTTCTTCATCTGTAAAGTGGGAATGATAATAGCTCCTACTTTAAAGGGATTGTGGGGATTAAATTAAAAGTGCCTAGAAAATGCTTACCAAAAAGCCTGAAATAGACAATAAATGGTAGCTATTATTTTTCCTGGTTTTGCCACTATGATTCCATGTCTCACTTTCTCCATCTGTACAAAAAGGTTCACATAGGTTGATGATCTCAAGTCTCACCCAACTGTGTCATTCTATAACTGGTTATTCAGAAATTATCTCAGTTACAAAAAAATGCTTAAAAACTATTTGGAAGCAATCAAATTTTCCAATTGGGAGTTTTATCATATTATTTTTCATTTTCTAAATACTGACAACCTAGCTTCTACTGGTCTGGTCTATAGGGGCACTAATTTTTCCTATTGTGCAAATAGGAAAAGTTGGTTAATATATTGAAAATGGGGACATTTTCCCACTAAGTTAGAGCCACAATGGGCCTTGGACCATCTAATCTAAATCCCTCATTTTACAGCTAGATGAACACTCAAATGGAGCCTCCATAGTGTAAACTGTTACCTACCAGTTTGGTATGCAGCTTCTGCTGCCATCTCTGAGAGACCAACTGCAGTCATCCATGTGGTTTCCAGCTTCAAGTATTCTTGTTGTTTTGAAGTCATCTGTAAATTAAACAATGCACTTGAGACAACACAAAGAGGATAAAGACATTTAAATAGAGTTATTCAAAATAGACTTAGGGAACAGTTACTGGTTAGAAATCTTAATTCAATAATTTAGATACCACAATGAGGCAGGAGCACTAATACAGAAATCGGTAATAACTTTTTGCTCACCTCAACTCTGGCTCCTATGATCACCTGCCATACTTCATCTTCCTCCTGTGAATTCATTTTCCCAAGTAAACTTGTATATTGTCGGTACAGAGAAATTAAGGTATAAACAGCCTACAAATACAGAATAAATAAGTCTGAGTAAAATACGTGAGGCATGTCAGGATTAGTGAGGCTTAGACCTCAAGGAGATGAAGTTCCACACAGCAAACTGGCTCTCAGTTCTTCTGCCTCACTGAAATTGCACTGTTGTATGAAGCAGAGGCATTATTCCAGGACATCAATATCTCCACTAGTCCACTTTTGTGTTTTTAAAGCGTGTTAGCAATTTAGAAATAGAGAACACAAGGCAGAGGACAAACTCACACGGCCAAGGAAAAAGCTGCTGGAAAATCAAGATAAAAGAAACATATAAATGATTTAGATTATCCGGATACTCTCTCTTCCTAATAGCTCACATCAGTGGTTTTCAAAGTGTCCTCACAGAGAAGCCCTGGTGCTGCTGGTGGTAGACTCCGGACCTTTCTAGCCTTAAGTGAACCAGATCAGCTTGATTCAGTTACAAAAAAATGCTTAAAAACTATTTGGAAGCAATCAAATTTTCCAATTGGGAGTTTTATCATTTTATTATTTTTCATTTTCTAAATACTGACAACCTAGCTTCTACTGGTCTGGTCTATAGGGGCACTAATTTGTCTTATACACTGGGCTGCTAGATTTAAGATTTTTCCTTTAAAAAAGTTTCCTGGAAAAAGTCTAAAAACCAGTGATTTAGGTCAGGACTCAGCCAACGTTTTTTTTGTAAATGGCCAAAGGGTAAATATTTTAGGTTTTGTGCCCTTACAGTCTCTGCCAGAACTATTCAACTCACAAAAGCAAAAGCAGTCACAGACAATACATAAATGAGTCTGGCTTTGTTCCAGCAAAAGTACAAAAATAGGCATCAGACCGGATTTGGTCTGTGACCCACCGTTTGCTAACCCCTAGTTTAGGATGATCAAGACTTAACAAGAAGACACTTACCTTAGTATATTCAGTGATTGCTTCAATCAATGCATACGTGGTCTGAGAGAGAAAGGTAGAGGTGCTGTCTGTTACCAAAGACACAGCCCTCCTCATTAATGCATCGTTACTAAGAGAATGAGGCTCCGATTTCTGAAAGACAAACATTTTCACTCAACTTCTTACCTAAAGCATGAGCTGAGAACTTCAGACAGCCAAGTGAAAAACAGGATTCTCATGCTGCAACTGCACTACGCTTGTGTTAACTTTTTCTTTTTAGGCTTTATTTTGGCTACGTAACACAGCACATGGAAATAATTCCAGAGTATGCTTTCTATCCACTGTTGTTGTTGTTGTTGAGGAAGATTTGCCCTGAGCTAACATCTGTGCCAATCTCCCTCTATTTTGTATGTAGGACACTGCCACAGCCTGGCTGATGAGTAGTGTAGGTCCGTGCCTGGGATTTGAACCTGTGAAGTGGGCTGCCAAGGCAGCGTGCCAAACTCAACCACTATGCCATGGGGCTGGCCCCCCTGCTATCTACTTTTATTTTTTATTCTCTGCTCCAAAAAGCAAAGTATTTCTTTATATAAAATAAAAGGCTAGTAATTATAACAAATGAGTTTCATGAAGTTATGATTCATTCATTACCACAGTGCTAGATGCTTGGGATATAAAAATAAAATATATTCTCTGCCCTCAAAGATTTCAGACAGAGGGGGAGGGGCAGGGGCTAACAGAGTACTTGACAACTAGCGCAGTCAAGTACCATGGGAGCTGTTGCAGAAATCTGTATGGGCTACAGTAGGGGCATAC